TGGAGCACCCTGTATACGTGAACCCGGCTACCCCAAGATTATTACGCAAAGTTGCGGGGACTGGACTGGAAGCAGTGAGCACTCACTACTTCTGGTCTATAGCGATAGCAGAGTGGAAAGTTCGAAAGCACCTGAGCTGAGAGCCTACCATCCCACTAGGAACGTAATGGGAAACGCTCTAACGGTCGTACATCGATGGACGACATCAGCCAACTTAAAGGTAAATGCTACCAAAATGTAGCCGTATTTGGAGAGGGCACCAAACTCATGTGGAACCTCAAAGTACCTCAAACGAACTGCAATGAAATATCCGAAAGAGCAAAGGGAGATGGAACGCATTAGCGTAATACAAAACCACCAAGATCATGTGAAATAGCAGTAAAGGAAACAGTCATTTCTTACCCACGTGGTTATGTAAAGACTGCAGGACTGTTACAAGCATCATCCATCAGGAAACCAATCATTAGGTGGTGGTTTACTTTATATTTTTAATATACAAATTTTCCATGCGCAAAATTTCAAAAAAAATTTTAAATTATAATTGGATTTGGTTTTGCCGAAATTACAAATTCGAATTGAAAAAGTTTAAGCTCAATTTCAATAGCGAACGCCGCTGACCGTACGTGATGATATAAATGTATTGATTTGCTACACAAAAAAATTTAAACAATTTAGTATTCAACTGAAAATCAAAAAATGTTTCAAAGCTTACTAGCGAAAATAACAGTAAATTTACATTTAGTTGCTCATATGTGTCTATGTAGGCATATCAAATTTATGTTGCAAAGTTTATTAGAGCACGTATTCCACGACCGTAGGGTTATTAAAATTTCAACACTCACACATATACATATTTGTAAGGAATATTTTCGAAAAACCGCTAAAGCCACAATACAAAATTTTAAAAATATGCCAAAAGGGTTGTTGTAAAATTTGCACGGAACTCACCTAAACAAAGTGCGAATATTTATTTAGTACTAAATATGTTATGTTAATTAAAATAACAACAAATAAATATATTGTTGTAGTTAAAGCAACAAATGCATTTTGTCATCGTCTAATAGGCGAGATTGCGAAATTTTAAATGGAATATTCGCCAACTGTCAAACGGATGAAATATGACGAGAGTGGCGAGTCAACGTCATTTATGCCGCCACACCATGACGCCCACGCAAAAACTGTCAACAAAACAACTTAACAACAACAAACTACACGCATCCATATGTACGGCAAAAAAAGCAACGGCCAATATTGATTTAGTAAATTTTGAAAGGTTTTCTAAAATACGAAAATTGGCATGAAATATTGAATATTAAATGCCATAACTAATAGAGATATGTCGCACTCAAACATGGGCATATATGCGCAAATGTATGTATGTATGCACCTGGCAGTGGAAAGGTGGGTTCCCAAAAATCTAGCCAAATACTAGCGGTTAAATGATCATAACAGTTCTTCATTTGCTATAAGAGCAATTTCTACCACACTAAGTGGTTGTTATCTGTAGCATACCACGAGTGTGTTGAATTTTGTGATGTGGTCAGTTGAAGTACGCGGTATGTAGATAATCGCTATATCATCATTATGGCCAAGTATTCGTAGTTAGAGGTTGTCACTGTCGTGTGGGAGATTCTCGGCTCGAGTCCCACAGCATATTTAATTTTCATTTTGTTGAAAAAGTCAACATGAAATCCAGAACTAGTATTTAACTAGTATGAAACAGACACATAATTGGACAATTTATTGCTTACATTAGGAAAAGACACAGAAAATATATACGTGTATATGAGTATGGATACTTTTTCGATGAACTATCGTGGAATCAGTTCGAGACTGGTATGTTTTGACACTACTTTAGAATGCATATAAATCAAATCCACTTTAGGACTAAGCATAAATTATATAATATTGGGAAGATTACAAAACATTTCGAAGCTAGTTAGGAGTCATTATGACTACTCGGAAAAAATTCGGTCCTAATAGAAAACGATTTCAGATTAATATTGGATTAAAGCGGAATCACTTCAGAGTAATTTTTGATCTAGTTGGAATCGTTGTGAAAAATACTCACTACTTGATACGGGTACCAAGTTTATGTTATGTCTGTAGGATTCTTGAACTGGGAATCATTTACTAAAACGAAAGCGATTTTTATACGAAATTGCATAATTTTTTTCGACCTCATTTGGAAACATATATATAAAATGCTGTTAGCGTTTCGAAGCTATTGCGTGTGGGTTTTTGAAAGATTAATATTTTTGAAACCTAAAAGATCTTCATATCAGTATTCAAGTGGGGGGATTTTTGATAAAATTGTTGTTTCTCCCTTCATATGTATATATATATATTAAAAGGAGTATCTAGATTTGATGAGTACCCAATTTTGAGCACTTTTTCGTACATACATATTGATGCTTTAATTTAGATATATATGAAGTTGCTTGATCATTGCTCTTTCTACAGAGAATTTCCAATTTCCTTTCTTATCAAATTACTTTGCTTTCTGGAAATAAATTTATGGAAATATTTTATTTAGTTTTGAAGCGCACACGAAGTAGATTTCTGTATAATAAACTTCAGGTTTCTTCCAAAAATGAAAACTCTTTAAAATGCCAGCTAAATGAAAATGCGTAAGATCAGCTCAGAGTGTTTCTAAGAAATCGGGTGCGATATCACTAAGAAATTATAGGAAAATATATTATGGGAGTGCAATGAACTGTTTTTGCCACGAGTTATTTATGTTCACACATACATATATACAAGCATGCGTACATGTTTGCTAGTGAAAATTTAAAATATTCTTAGTAATTCATATTTTAGGAATTAAATTCAGGGTAATTTTTCGCGACCAGAGAAGCACGTGCCTTACGCACTTACATATCGCATACGAAGTGAATTTTCAAACTTACATACCTACATATATGCTTACTTATTTGTGTGCTCCAATTATATGTACATCCTATTTATGTGTGGCTCACTGCTGCTGTTGTTGTAGTTGTTGTTTACTGAATCATTTTGTCAGCGCGTGAATAATTAGAATTTACATGTGGGTGCGTCGGTCTTTGACTCTAAATATTTCTAAAATTTATTTTGCTATGTCGAAAGAAAATCCATCAATTTTAATTTACGATGACTTGCATTTTTCATTTTCGGTAATTATAATATATTAATCAAGCGAGCTTAATTTGGTGCGAAAAGAAGCAAGGGCAAATGCAAAAGTAACATGATAGACGGTATTTATATCTAATTAACGGTATTTAATTTTGCGGCTGAATATTAATTCTCATATCTAAAAAAATCTTTAGTCCCTTGGAGTCCTTCGGCATAGTCAGTCCACCGGTTTCGATTATTTTCGGTGTCAAAATGATTTTTTGTAGCTTTTAGTAGCATTTTTGATGGAGTCATGAGTCAAAATCTGAAATCTGAAAACTCCATAGTATATATGTTAAAGTGGTCCGATCTAGTCAGTTCAAAGTGATGTCAGATAAGCATGGCCCGACTTTGCCCTGCACTCGTTCTTACCCAGACTCGACAATGGCATGCTGGCTGTATGTTCCAGCGAATGCAGCTGCGACACCTCCTCGTTGCCACCCCGTTTAAACCCGTCGTAACAGCAAGTTGAAGAACTTAAATGTATGTGGAAAAGGTTTGCTTGGGAAATATGATTCTCTCTATACTTACTCATTCCGCCAGAGACTTCTGCCACTGCTTACGAGAGCTGTGACGTCTTGGGTGTAAGAATATGCATTGAAACTCCACGATTTGCAGTGCTCGTCTGGTTGAGGATTTGAAAAGCTTCATATACAAAATGCTTAAGAGCAAATGTACTAAAAAATATACTTGAAACCTTACGACCATTCACGATAATCATTAGTTTAATTATATTTACACTCTGACGCAAGAGGAATATTTTTGGTAGGGCAAGTATCGAGTCAAAATTTAAGCAAGAAAAAATTAAAATTAACCTCTTTAAAAAATTAAATAAATCATTTGTTTTTTTTTTTAAAGAATTTATGAATCATAGAAATACATGTGTATATACATATGCAAGTAATCAATATCGTCACCTCAACGTTTTGACGTCAAATGGAAATGTCTTCCATGCATCTGGCGCACACACTTTCCATTCTTAAACCTGTCAACCCACGAAGTAATATATAAAATACACAGATTGCTCTACAACACTAAACATCTTCCGACATCTTCCTCAGACACCCTGTATTACCCACTTACCTTGCGCTGCTTAACACACAAATCACCGCCGATATTTGATACCGCACTTTGATAGCGTGTGACAATATTCACCAAAGTGACAGTTAAGAGCCAAAAAATGTCAACCGCAACGAGATTTTGCACATTAGAGGTGATGAGCAGAGCGAACGAAAAAGCAGTTGCCGGATAGGGATGGGGAAGAGGGAGACTGCGGTTGGCACATAAATAGCAAAGCGAGAAAGTAACAGATCACGGTGACATTTTCTAAAATACACGACACACACACACATACATATACATATTATTTGTGGGAACTATTTTGGGTAGCAGACAGGAAAATGTTTAGGAATCGATTGGCAAGTGAAGAATGTTGGATAATAAGTATTTTCTATAGGCAGGTGTTTCAGCTGAAGAAAGACCTCACGGGGTGTGGGGTGTGGAGTGTGGGGTGTCAGGAGTGCAAGCACTAATGACCGCCTGTTAATTCTTAAAGGCGTTTTATTTTAACATTGCATTGTAAGTCTTTATATTTGTTGTCGCCGCCACAGCAGCGGAAGACCTGCTTGGTCTGACAAACAGCGGAAACTTTTGGAAAATAATTTTTTCTAATTGCGGCCGCCCTCGACAGGGTATGCCCAGCTCTCCGAGTGTATTTATTGGCGGAGGAGCTGGGCCAAAAATCGATTCAGCGGCTACAAAGTGCCAATTATTTACAAATTAATATTTCTTGAAGGTGACTTTAAGTTTTTTGTTTGGAAATCTAAAAAAAATAAATGAAAAATTTCAGCTTTGCAATCCATTAAATGCGTTTCACATATATTTTTAGTTTAATTAATGCTACCATATATCTATGTACACATTAAGTATTAGTTAAAAACTACATATATTATTTACAAAATCTTATATAAGAGAAGTTATTTTACATACAGACATGCATACTAAAATATTGCTAAATTGAAGTGTTCAAATATTACTCTACATAAATGACAAAATATAAAATTTCCAGGCTTTCTGGCACTGCGGATTTTTGTGTTCCACCTTTTGTTTAGCAATATAATTGTTTAGCAACATATTTTGTTTAGCAACATAATTGTTAAGCAACGTAGGGGTTATTCAATGCAGTATTAATCAGATAAGCAATAAAATCTTCATACTCCATTCTTTATAAATATTTACTTTTTTTTTAGAAATCGATGAAAGTGGGCTAAATCGTTGTCCNAAAAAAATAAATGAAAAATTTCAGCTTTGCAATCCATTAAATGCGTTTCACATATATTTTTAGTTTGATTAATGCTACCATATATCTATGTACACATTAAGTATTAGTTAAAAACTACATATATTTTTTACAAAATCTTATATAAGAGAAGTTATTTTACATACAGACATGCATACTAAAATATTACTAAATTGAAGTGTTCAAATATTACTCTACATAAATGACAAAATATAAAATTTCCAGGCTTTCTGGCACTGCGGATTTTTGTGTTCCACCTCATTTGAACGCTGTTCACAACGCAATTGTCTGCTCGCCACTTCACACGCACTCATCCTTCTTGCTTTTGTTCTCTTGCTCCAATTCAATCATCGAATTCAAATTGACCCATCCACTCGCCACTTAATTCAAACAGCGGCGTTCACAAGCCTCCTTCGTGCAAAAGCGATTCCGGTTGCCATAGCAACCCTTGTATTGGAATTTTCTGCAAGCGCCCTTATCGAAGAACCAGCGCGTCTGTGTGACCGTGTGCTGATTCTTATTACAGAAGTAGCCCTCGTTCTGACCCATGTAGCAGTTGACTTGATCTGTGCGGTGGGGGAAAAAGAAGACACGGTAGGTAAAGTTAATTAATAATTACCAATTAAAATGTTTACTTTGCAATCTTTGCGATTTCATTATTTATTATTGCTCTGTTTTATTTCATTTCAAGTGTTTGCGTGCTCTTGCTTTTGTTAATTGATAGAAGTGCCCGTTCTTGGCATTATTGTGTAATTGCTTGATTTATGGCTAAATGGCTGAGTGGATTCAGTTTTTGATTGTGAATTTCATGGGGAAGAGGCGGAGTGACTTTAAAGGAGCAAAGACTTGGCGCTTGCTCCATGGGACGGTCCAAAGATCCTACTTCAAAACACACAATATTAAAGACCTAAAGACGACTATTCATACAATAAAATCTCAAGATCTCATCGCCTTCTCGCCGCGGTACGCGAGTGGTTAGCATTGCATACTGCCATTCGGAAGGCTTGGGTGCCAGCATCCAAAAGTTATGCAAAACTAATTGGATTAAAAAATTAAGTTGAATTTTCACATTGCGGTCGCCCCACGGCAGCGACTGCCCACTGCTCCGAGTGTATTTCGGACATGAAATATGGGCTCCTCATAAAAAAATCATCAGCCGTTCGGAGGCGGCTTAGTATAAACTGTGGGCCCCTTCGTTGTGTTGGAAAAACATCCAGACGCAAAATTACATATTGAAGGTGGAGCTCAGCCGAAAATCGTCTCAGCGGTTACAAAGCGCCTATTTTATACATATATATTTATATATAAATTTCTATATTTATATATATTATATATATATATACTTTGTGATTATAAAGTTTTCTGAACGCTTTTATATTGCAAAGAACACGGTCAGATTCTCAAGGAAAATTAAATTTTCGGAAAAAAACAATTTTATATCTAAAAGGCTTTAACACAGTAAGCATTTATAATTTAAAAAAAAAAAGACATGGGAGTTCTTGATATGAGTCAACACCTGCTGTTTCGGATTTAAGATTTAAATCATTTATCATTTATGATCTTGGAGACTGTTTTGACGCTTTTGGATAAATACGAGTATATCGTTAGAGCAAAAAATTTATTGCGAAACTCCTTTTCCAAGCCAAAGAAAGATGAAATATCCGGTTGCTCTCGCCAGAGATACTTTTGAGAGCATTTTTGAAGTGAAGTGAAAAAGGTTTCGATGAGCGAGGCGATCCGTTTCTCTTTGCTATATTTCAGTTTTGTGGTGAATTTTCTCCCAAATAATTAATTCAATTTAATTTAGAAGTATGGAAGACTTGAAAGTGCAAAATCAAAAATTGTCAAAACATTATTTGAAGTAAATAAACTTTTCGGTCAACGAAGCAAAAGAACAGCTGATTTAAAGGTTCCAAATAAATAAAAACTATCAAGCTAGCCGGATACTTTGTTAATTGGTGAAACGAAATTTCTTTAATTTTACATAAAGGAAATACTCATACAAAACTAACGGTAGTAACACCCCTGTTATACATTTATCTGCAATCGTCTTTGTGCATACCAGTAACCCTACTGCCTTGTCTTTCAAAGTTATTCGAAAGAATCCTGAGAGATTCTTGATGGAGATTCTTCCATCGTAATAGAGTGATACCAGAACACCGATTCGGTTTTCGTGAAAAACATGGCACGGTAGAACAAGCAAACCGAGTTACTAGTGAAATTAGCCGGGTATTCGAGTTACTTCGACAAGGTTGGGCATAATGGTCTATTACACAAAAATCTTCAAACTTTGCTTTACAGTTCATTAATATATTTCAGTCATATCTGTCTAACAAGTGATTTACCGTAAAGCAATCGGAATTTATACATAGAAACCTTGGTATCCTACTGGTTAAGCCTTTCAACTTCAGACGACGCCCAAAAGATCTCAGAATGCATATTTCAAAGGACATAAGGAAAGGGAATCGAGTTATAAAATACAGTAATGTGAATTTCCTTCAATCGTTGGCAGATATTGGATTAATAATTTTATAATCACTTTGAGCCTTACCATTTTTTTAACTCAATTAATTCTAGTTTTTTTCCAATTATTTGGTATTATATCAAAGTAAGTGAAAAATTCCAAGGTGAGAATTATTTAAAATAAAAATTAAATTTATTAATAAAAATTAAAGATTTATAATTATCAAAAATTTTAATTTTATTCCTTCCTTTTCGCGTCTGTACTACAAAAATTAAATTTTTTTGCTGCAAGTTTTCTCTGATTCCTAAATTCCTTCACTTTCGAAGCAAAAATGAAATGAAAATAATTTATTTTATTGTAATAATTACGTAAACCTCTTTAAAAATTTTAATATCGAAATTGGTATGTATGTACATATATTTAAGCGAAAATAATAATTTTTTGTTGTCTTCTTTTTGCTCAGCATTGCGCCTTTGCCTTTTGTTTATGCTTGAAATAATATTAATTATGAAATAAATACAATTGCAAGCAAAAAAAAATTAAAAAAAATTAAGTTATTGTCTTTACATCTTCCAAATATTCCAAAAAAAAAAAAAACATACAAACATACATATAAATATGTATGTAACCAATTAATCTATCTGACCATCTGCCAACAAAGACCACTTGGAAGCACTCAAAAGGCAATCGTCTGAGTTATGCGATAATAATTTCGCCTTTCATTCTAATCGAATGCACAATTTCCTCTCATAGAAAATAAATAAAAATAATTTCAACACTTTCTAATTATGTACTTGACACGTATTCTGACACTTTTCGAGAGAATGCGCAGATTTTCAAAATTTTCCATTCAATAAGTATTGAGTAAATATGCACATACGTACATATAATATATTAAATGGAGAGCAATACGAGGCAGTAAAATAATAAATAAAAAATGATGAAAATAAGCAAAAAAAAATATAAATTTTCAAAAAATTATGAAACCTGCCAAAAATGCATTTAAGCCAAGCGGCTTATATACAATAAATATATGCATAGTATATTTTAATGGAAATTTAAAAATAATTATTGTAAATACATATATATATATATGCCCGTGGTATGTAAATACGTATGCAGAGTGTGTGAGCACTTGGTAGGTGTTCCAATTTGAACTAATCACAAAATTTTCGAGTCGCGGAAATGGTATTTCCTAATTGTATTAGCAACGGTGTAATGAAGATTTGAGGTGAGTCACTCATGCATAAGCTAAATAATTAAGTTTTTACTAAGAAATAAACTAATAAACTAATAATTAAAATCTTAAGGAATGTGATTATGAAGTCGAGCTGATATTTTTTGCAAAAAACAGAAAAGGGAAATGTTGGAGCCGATAACTGTGAGTCGAAATAGAATTAATTGTCAGTCCAAGTCTTTCGCTGCTTAATAGATATCATAATGATGATTCCATTAGTTTGCTCTAATCATTCAGATATATACATATATAAAGGTTAAACAAAATCGCATAGAAAAAACTTAGTAAACCGACCAGACTGTGAGCTTTCCTTAGGTTCGTTTGGTCTCTACAAAAATTATTAAAAGTTACTTACACCACCAATACAACTTCTAAGTGGTATTTATGTATGTATTTATCTAATATATAAAATTCCGTGTCACAGTTTTTGACTCGATACTCCTAAGGAAAGGGATTTACCGATTTTAATGAAATTCAGTAGGCCTGAGAATAACATAACATTTATTTTTCACACCGGGAAGAGGACCTGGGACCGATCTTTTCGAAAATGTTGAACTTATATTTCGATTCATTTGAAATTTATTTACTCAGTATAGCAGAAACATTATTTATGTTTCCAAGAATTGTACCTAACACCGAACTTTTCGAAAAAAATCGTTTCTACGGCTTGGATTAAGAAATAAAAATTTTCGGAAGTGGACCGAGGGACATCGGGCAGATATTTTATTGGCTTAGTCCATAACCCGATAGACGGCATCATTTGTTGGAAGGCACGCCCGTGCGCATATGGGAGCCTTCCTTGCATTTACGTGCATAGAAGTCGAGCACTTCCATAGCGTGCGCTATAACAATTGTCATTTCCATGAATTATGCAGAATAGATATACTAAGTGAGAGAAAAAATAACTCTAAGAACGAGTACATATGCGACCTCGTGCAGTGAGGAATCCGTATGTTGAAAATAACTTATAGGTGTTCCTGAATTGATAGCGCACGAACCGGATGGAATAAAATTCAACTTTATTAAGAGAATCTTAGTTGCGAATAGATGTACTTGAAATTTAATTTGTTCTAAGTTTATCGTTTAGATTGACATGCCGAAACTGGTTCTTAATAATCTTATTTATGGCTTAGTTTGATTGAATTTTTTTTCGTTCGTTTGGTCTGCTTGAACTTTTCTTATCTGGAACCGCTTAATTTAATTGAAGTAATTTTATGAAAATTGCCTATTTTCTCGTGTTGACAAACCATCTTTGTTGCTTGTTCTTTCATGCCTGCTACCATTTTCGTTTCATAATTCTCATTGAGATTTGAACTATCTACATGTATTTTATTATCAATCTTAATGTAATATAAAGACATCTGATTACAGCGAGACGGAGTTCGCTTAGTCTGCTGGCATGGTTCTCAGCCATGCTCCTCCTTCGATTTGTTCTTTGCATCTTGATATTTTTCCAACAGTTGGGAGAACCTACAGTTAATACTAAGCCACTTTCGAACAGCCGAGATAGACTTTCTTGAGAAGCTTATAGTTCATGTCGGAAAACCACTCGGTGGGCTTGATATTCCTTTGGCATTCCCTGCCGAGGGGCGACCGCAATTAAAAAAACTAATTTTTAGAAATTTTTGGTGTTTCGTCAGACCATGGTTCGGGTCATCCGAATGTCTGTATGCAATGTTAGTTCTCTTGGAACGGATCAAAGGTAATCGATTCGTGTTTGGAGCGCTCTTCTGAGGGCCGACTTTAAGCTTTTGATCTATAAAATTCCATTTACAAAATTAAAGAAATTTTTTTTCGAGCATTTTCATATTTCAACTAGAGATGAGAACACCAGATCTAACACAACCACACTTCTACCCGGACAGACGAAATGCCATATTCCTAGTTTTTATATATGTAAGTATTTATATTCTTGTTTTTTTTTTTATACGAATGCATCGTTGACAAAATAATTTTTGTTGGTGATCTTTTTTGTTTTTGCTTTTTGCTTACTCAATTCCTTGCAATGCGCATTGTGTTCCGCCTGCGTCATAATCGCCATGGCCAACGCGACGCACATGACAAATGCTAAAGCCGGTGAACGCATGTTTTTGCTGACTTGGTGTTGTTCTTGTTCACGATTTGTGTATGCTTTTTTTTTTCTTTGATTATTCCAAAAGAATGCCAAATACCAGATGTCAGAAATGAGTAATGATGTAGACGAATGAAGCGATCTACTCGTTGGGCCGCAGAGATGCCAAGTAGACGCACCCGAAAACAGAAATCGAAAACAAACAAATGTGACCTCAAAGCCTGGCGGCGATTAATGATGGCGTGTTAGCTGATGAGCAGTTGACAACAAAACAGGAACAGCAACAGTGAGTTTGGCGAAAAACACGATCGGAATCTCGGAACAGCTCTTAATCTTTTTTCTTAGAATTTTTTTTTTTTTTTTTTTTTTGGAAAATTGAAAATTCCGAGTATTTAGCTTCAAGTATTTTTAACGTGAGCTCTTAAAAGCATATCCCGTTATTTAGTAATTGCAACACTACGAACCGCAAATTCTGACCGGCAACTGAGGCGTCCCAACGGCAGTTTTCCGCTTTTATACCAATGCGCTGGGGCGGACAGAATTTGTTGTTGGCATTCTTTTTTTTTTGTTTTTTTTTTTTTTTTTGAATATATATGGTGCATATGTGTGTATGTATGTATGTCAAACACACTTAAGTGCTCGCCTAGCAAGTAATAAGGAAAAGTGAAATTTTCGAAAAGTTTTAAAATTCTAAAATGGACCGTCCGTTTTCGAGATGCTCGTACACATACATACTCGCACATGTGTATTGGCATGCTTGTGGAGTGCTAGCTGAGCGCATTGGAAATGTTTGATGCATTGGAAGCGTATTTGAGTGTTGTTAAGGGCACAAAAAAAAAAAAAAATAGTTCGCAGCGTTGTATTCGAAACTATTTGTGATTTTTGAAATATTTGCCGAAATATGTTTTCGTACATTTTGTAATAGAGCAAATAAAATATTAATTTAGAAACATCACGTTGTATAAAACTATTTTGGACTTAGAATTTGCGTAAACGTGCAATTTCCCTTAAAGATTTGTGGTTAGAGATAAAAGTATGATTGACGCTTTGGAGCCGCTGAAGTGATTTTCCGCCGAGCATCTCTTTCAATGTGTGGTTTGTGTTTTAAGGTTTTTCCACGATATGGAAGGACCTACAGTTTATACTAAGCCGCCTTCGAACGCCTGATGGTTTTTTATAAGGAGCCTTTTGTTCGTGTCCGAAATACACTCGGAGAGCTGGACATTCCCTGCCGAGTGGCGACATTTTTTTCCGATTTGTGGTTACTTATTAAATTTACTTAAAATAAATTTTACTCAAAAAAGTGGTAGCAATAATTTAAGGATTTTCCGGTAGATGTCCCTACGCCAGTAATAAAAATGGAACGACAACCGATTCAACGACGAATTGAAACTAGTAAAATTCTCTATAAAATTTCGTCGAAAAATCTTCTTGACTGATGAGGCCGTATAATCTTTAGGTGCGGTTTATAGCTCGCCGGGGTCATTGGATCGCACTTTCTGGAAAACGAGTACGAAACCACACAGGAAATTAATCAGAATCTGAAAGGATTTTGTAATTAGTTTTATATATCTAAATGTAGTTCTGCTTTCTACAGAAAGGATGAAGAAAAGAATCGAGGACAACTTGAAATATCTCCTGTCATCAAACAAACAGTCGACGCATTTATTTTTTGACTCCAAATAAACTGCTCAGTCATAATTTCTGGTTGGGTGATAATTTCATCTTTTCAAGAACCATCGGATACTTTATGACCGCATGAAGAACCAAAAAGCGGCTGGAGGTGACTGAAAAATGCTAATTGGTCAGCAGGATATGGTCGGAAATTAAGTGTACTCTATCCAATCTTTTAAAAAATGGGGTCACACAGCCTGTGCCAACTACTTTGGGTTAAGCCTCCTTAATATCACATATAAAGGCCTTTCGAGAGTATCGTGTGTAAGACTACAGCCCATCGTCGTCAACAAACTGATTGGACCTTATCAGTGTGACTTTAGACCATTGACCAGATATTCGCCATGCATCAAATCGTGGAAACGACCTGTGAAAGGAGGATCGTTACCATCCTTCTATATGGTGCGGAGGCATGGACGATGACAAGATCTGATAAGTCTGTAAGAGTAGTTTTCGGGAGATAGGGTTTGTCCCTACGAGTTGGGAACGTCGAAGACCGCAGCCAATGGAATGAACAGCTGTATGAGATAGACATAGTCAATCAAGGAACAGCGGCTATGCTGATCATGAGATCATGTAGTCCGGATGGATAAGAATACTACAGCTTTGAAGGTTTTCAAAGTAGAGAAAAGACCAGGTTGAGAAGTATCTGGCTGAATTTGGTATCTCTAATTGCCAAAAAACTGTCAAAAAAAGAAATGAATGGCGCAGTGTTAGAAATTCGGTTATCTACGCCAATAAAGAAGGTGAAGAAAGACCATCGTTAAGGCCAAAAACAATATCAGGCTTGAAAGCAAACTCAGAATCTCTCTTGTTGTTCTTCAAGGAAAGATTTCATTCTCCAATTGCTTTTTCAGACCAAAGACCAAAAGATCCAACTCTACAAGCCACTCATCATTCCCGTCCTGCTGCAGGCTACAAAATCGAGAATGTTCTCTATTTTCGATTAGTCGGATTTGGAAGTCTTCGAGGGCAAACTTTTGCCGAAGTTGTATGGTGTATTGAACAATGAACTGTACGAGCGAATCGGCGATATTGACACAATTTACCAAATTAATATATCACTTGATTCAGCCCGTTTAAAGGTCAGGGAAGTTTAAGATTTGCTTTAAAAATTACATTTTTAATTTTTTTTATTTTTCTCCAATTCAAATTGAAACAACGAATTCTGCAATACTTTGAACCTATTTTATAATGAATAGAGCAACGATCAAGGTCAAAAGTGAAGCCACACCCTATTTCCCACATCTACCGACGGCCACTTTCCACTTGACAATCACTCGATGACTCAAATGGCGAAAGTCAAAAAGAAATTAAAATAGAACCCAAACAATATAATAAATTGATTTTTAAATGAAGATTGATTTTGTGGCGCAAAATACGAATGAAAAAGTATAATTAAATTAACAAAGTTGAGAACAAGCATCTGGGCTGAGAGATGGCAGGCAGGCCAACATCAGCACCAGAGGATGCTAGACAGTTACATACAAACATCCCATAAACAGAAAAGATAACAGTGAACTGACCTATGAATAAGGATGGGATGCCGATGATGAGTGACCAGGATTCAAAATCAAAGTGAATAACGGCATGTAAAGCACACATACACACACACACTGGCTGCACACAACCACATCTGAAGGCACAACAAGTCTGGCAGTCCGTCGGCCGGTAGCAGTAATTGGTTGACCTCTGAAAGAAGGCGAATTGTTAAAAATTGTTGACCAACTTTATTTCGCAATTTAATCAAACTCAAATAAAACCAATTAAATCGTCTCGATGAACTTGAGTGGGAACTTAAGGGGAAAAGTTTTGTAAATTTTGTAAATTATGTATTGATGTATGTATATCATGACATGGTATGGATTTACTTTTGAGCCATTGTATGTATATATGCGCGGCGGAAGCTCCCTTCCACTTGTTTACATAAAAGCGGAAACGCCTAGATGTCGCCAAAAATAAATTTGTAAACTAATTTCCTAGAATTTTAATTTATTTTAAACCGAATGAGGACGCTTGGTAATATTTGCAGTAGAATTGAATGACATTAGCGTCTCTTACGTGAACTATTTTGTGTAGTCATAATGACATATATATTTACCACGGAAGTGGTCTCCAGTAGTTAATTCAATTAACTCAAGCGAGCTTTTAAATTTGAGAGATATTTTAAGAAATTTGAAGTTTCTTCCTTATTGCGTAAGTCCTGGCAGCTGTTTGAGGGAAGATGACGACGACAGTTTGAAAATGAGCAACCTACAGAGAGGCGGATAATTTTACAGATGTCTCCTAAACCTCGTCAAGGGAGACCAAATTTCATTTTAACCCTTCCAACTAAGCCGTACGCCATCACTATCACGCGGTGGATCATGGTTTCAGACCCTGACGCGATCGAAATTTAAAATACAATAACAGAAGATGAAATTAAAAATTTATTTTTCCAGTTGCGGATGCCTTTGCGAAAGCTCCACGAGTGTATTTCTAACACAAAAAGAGCTTAGGAGGGAGCTTGGAGCGTGGCTGGCATTTCCAGCTGTCACCAGCGAAAACAAGGGACGAATGGCGTGTTATAATCGATTCGGCTATGATTGCGTAAGTGGTGTCAATGCCAATAAAGAAGAGAACGGGTTTGCTTTTTATGTTCGCTCTTCAAAAGAAAGCCTTGTGGAGGGTCTTATTCTGCTGAAAGTATGCGAGCCGCCAATGTATCAGGTGTACAACTTGGCTTCCGCCGTTTTTTCCACAAATAAAAGCTTTATTGCGAAAAAGTGCTTACAGATATATTATTCAAAGTATTGTCCTTCGCTAGCGACAACTTTCTCCCATCTGTCCGGCAATTTTCGGATCCCGGCTGGAAAAAAGGTGTCCTCTTTTGACGATATCCATGAAGCAATCCATTTTTCCAATTCTTGGAAGGATTAAAAATTTTGATCTGCCAGGCCGTGTGCCATCGAACGGAATAGGTGGTAGTCAGAAGGGGCGACATCTGGGGAATAAATCGGGTGGGGCAAGACTTCCCATTTCAGCGTTTCCAGGTACTTTGTCATGTTGAAGGATGACTTTGTCATGTCGCTCTTGATATTGTGGCCGCTTTTCTTTTAGCGCGCGACTAAGGCACATCAGTTGCGTTCGGTAGCGATCTCCTGTGATGGCTTCACCCGGTTTTAAGAGCTCGTAGTAAATCAAACCAAATACAAATCATAATCATGTTTGTCTTCGACATCGAAATCACCATATTTAAAACGTTTAAACCACTCCCGACACGTTCTTTCACTCACACGTCACCGTAAGTTTCTGAGAGCATTCGATGCGCTTCAGCTGCATTTTTTTTTTCGAATTACAACAGAAAAGTAAAACTTCACGCAAATGGCGAGAATTAGGCACATAAACGGACATTTTCGATCGTGAATAATACGAAAACAAGAACAACTGTCACTGAAACGGCGATGACAATTCGTTAGGCACTGTTCACACTCACTTTAAAGGCATTATCGTCTATGTATTTCAACCAGCCTCAGCCGGTACAGCCATCTATCGGAGAACGGCGGAAGCAAAGTTGTACACCTGATATTTAAAAAGTGTTGCTGAGGCTCATATCCAGATGAGATCCCCAGATGCGAATCTTTCTCGGTTGTGCCAGTGCGCGGCTTTGATGATATTTACATGCCCCAAATTGGCACCAAAAACTTGGAGAAGAAATAAAAACTTCCTTTTGGTATTTGGAACACGGTAAATCAACGGAAATCATTATTGACATCAAAAAGATGTCGTCAATTGGTGGAGACGTCAGAAGGAAATCTGCATAC